GTCTGTTTCTTTGCCAGTACCATGCTGTTTTTATCACAGTAGCTTTGTAGTATATTTTCAGGTTGGGGATTGTGATACCCCCTAAGGCTACTATTTCTTTTACTAGAAACTCTATGTTGCATATTTTAGGGTCAAAATATGTGACCCCCCCACCCCAGTAAAAACAAAAGAGTGAAAATACATGCAAAGGGGCAAAAAAAGAAAAAAAAGACTTAAATGAAAATACATTACATGCTCTTTTCTATGAAAATAGTGACAAGTGACATCAAACTGTATTATGTCTTCATCAGCTGGAAGATGAACTATTTAAAACAGTGGAATGTCTAATTGTAATATTTTAAAAGAGAATGATTAAGCATGTTTAATGTATTATGAATTCAAGATTATAGTAAACCTTCTTTGAATAATTTTATTATAAATAACATGTTAATAATTGCATACAAACAATATTTTATAAATGGTTAGGTATAATATGTGCCTCATATGCCTATTTTTATCTGCATCTATCAAACAATAACTTTAGACACTGTCCACAAATAGCACAAAGATATAACCATAGCTAAATTATTTAAAATTCTAAATTAACAGGATACAAGCTTTTGTGCAAAATTCTTGTCGATTATTCCAATAAAACCACAGGTTGGAAATTAGGAACAGCTTTACACTCAGGAAACATAATGAATATATATACCAAAAATGCAAAGAAGTCTTAAAGGATAAGATAGGAACTTGAAATTCCCACTTTAAGTGGCTTGACTCTCTTAGTCCTTTGTTTTAGGTGATAGGGACTAAAGAAGAAGAGGTAATTTTGGATCTCAGTAAACAGGTAGTTCAGCACACTAATGACCAACAGCAGCATTCAGTCAAGAACAGACTAGAAAAACTCCATTATAACCAAATACATTTATAACGAACCCCTACCCATCTCCCCCACAGCTATCTCTACCAGCACCTGAGGCCAAATCATTCATGTTATTTATTGGTTAATGGAAGTAACCTCTAATTAAATTCTTGTAATTATGTGCAAATATTTCATTATACAATGCTCAAATATTTGCCCTACTAAAATGACTCACAGATGTGAATAATTTTTAGATGGCCAAAATAATTTTCATTTTGCTAGGGACTCTGGTTTGGTATTTATACATAAATACGAGTGGATCTATCTGATATTTTAGAAAATCACATACAACAAAACAGTAAAAGTGAAGACTTGGTTTATCCTACTGCCTCATGGAAATAAAAATCAATGAAAAAGAAAGCAAATAGAATGAAGCATTGTAAACAAAGTTAATAAAAAGAATTAAGGGAGTAGAGTTAAGAAAAAGCCCATCAACAACCTTGAGAAGACAGTTTTGTAAAATAAACCATTCAGGCAGATCTATGAACTTTTTAGATTCAGAACCAATTTTAGTAATTCTCACAAAATCCAATCACCTAGGGTTGATCCCTTACATAACTGTAATAAAAGGTTGACTACATGTATGCTTTGATTTAAAGTACACACTCTCAGAAGTTCAGCTCTCCTGAAAAGAGCTCTTGAGTCTATTCCAGTGCCTAAAACTGCTACCTTAGACTCAAGCTCGGGCTGTGTCCAGGAGTCTTGTACAAATTAGAACCATACCAAGTGAGATAGCTTCCACATTGACCTGTGAGCATCCAGGTGTGTTATTATAGTTGAATTTATTGTTTTGAAAAAGAGATAGAAATTTGGAGACAAAAATACTTTAAGTAATTGACTTTTCTTCTAATAGCATACTGCTTCTCAATTATCTAAAATATTAGTGGGTCAGGGATTCACTTTTTAAATCCTTCAGAGGTGTACTCTTTGATTCAGACAATTATTGGCTTAGAAATAATAATGAGAAAAACTCCTTAAAGCAATGTAAAAAGAGTCAATGTTGTTACTCGCCTTTTACCCATCTTCATACCAAAGTAAAAAGTCCCCACAACAATTGTAAATTACTCTTTCTTAAGAAATTACCTGCCCAACTGCAAAGCCTTTACTTTCCAAGATCCACACTCTCTTTATGCTTCCATTGTTGTAAGTCATGTAGTTAGGGTCCTTAAAGATGCCAGGATTCTAATACGCAAGTAGGATATAAATATTATTTTGTGAAGAACTTTTGAGCTTTGAAAGAAAATACAAGGCAATAGACTATGTGTTTAAGCATACCATGATAATTATATATTTCTGTCCATTGTTATGTAATTCTTCGGCAAAACCTGAAAGGTTGTAGTAAGCTTGTTCATCAATAGTGAAAACTTTCTTTCCATCCATGTAGTCTATGTCTGAGTACTGGACATCCTGAAAGATAGCAACACCAATTAGAACCCAGGAACTGTCATCTTGCTGATTAAAAAGGGTTCAGTTCCAGTTCCTGCCCATTAAAAAGAAGCCATGTTTCTTTTTTTCCCCATTAAGTTTATTGGTATATTTTAGGTATACATTATGATCACATTCATCATTGGGAATTTGTGCCTGCATATGACATATTTTTATTCTTGTTTTCCCCCTATTTCCCTTCCTTCCCTTCCACCCATATTGAGGCCATACTCTTAAGTGAAATAAAAAGGAGACACATGTGTAAAAACTGAATAGTTTTTCTGGTGTGAGAAACTGCAAGAGTAAGTGAGGACCAAAATGTATAATAGATAATGTAAAATAGGAAGAAAAGGCCCAAGTGGGAAGGGGAAGCAGGGAGGCAGGATGGGGGAAAGGAAAGGAATAAATATGAGAAAAGAAGGAAACTATAGAAAGAAGCCATGTTTCTCAATAACCCTGAACCCTTCAGGCCTCATTACCTCCCAGGAAGGAACACACCCTCTCTGAGATTCAGATGCTCTTAGGGTGCAGCTTCACCCTGCCATCCTGACAGAGACATAGCACGAAGTGTCAAGAGGAACTTGACCACAGAACCTGCACGTTGCTCATCTCTGTAACGTGAGAGCCTGGATCCTTGGCATGTAGCAGGTGCTCTTCAAATGTTTATGTAAAGAGCACATCAGTAATTTTACAACCATTTACAACCTTGAATGCCAAATATCAAGCCAGAATATATCATAAAAGGAGAAAATAGTCTTTTGCCTTATAAAACTGCTAGAGTAACAATTAACAGAGATCAATGGCAAAGAGATAGAGCTTTAACTAACCAAACTCTCAGACATACACTGTTTCTTATGTTTGCATATAAACCTGAAAGGGGTAGGTATTATTCTTAGTGAGAAGACTGAAATGTGAAGGAACTAGGTAACATTTCCCAAAGTCACATGATTGGGCAGCTGGAGAGCTGACTGGGGCTTGGTGACAGGCCCTTTCATTCTGGATGGTCTTTCTTTCCCAATCTGCCACATGCCTTGAACACATATGGAAGTGTTTTTATGTATTTCTCATGTGGTAGTACATTAGGAGCCTCCAGCCTATGGATTGTTGCCCAGTGTGGCATCATGTGCTCTGGTACTAGAAGGTCACTTAGGACCCAGGTGCCCCCCACGACCACATAGAGAGAAGCTACCAGCCATGGAAGAAAAGCTACTTTGTTTCTGAATTGGTAACATCTCAGGAAAGCCCTTCTTGTCAGAAGCAGGAAGATAGATTAGAGCAGTACCACAAGTGTAGTCAAAATAATGCTATTTGTGTACTGATCCTGGCCTTTAGCTAGTTGTGCAACCTAGCTGTTATTACTTGTTAACCATGTAGTGTTTGTTTCCTCACTTACAAAATAGTGATCAATGAGGGCATATCAAGAATGTGAAAGCCCTTTGTAAAATAATAAAGGAGTGGCAAAATTTGGTCTGATTCCTCCCAGAACTGGTTTTTTTTTAAGATAGCAGATGGGGAGAAATAAAAAGAAATGCAATCAATTTGCCTTTAATACCAAAACAACATGGTGAGCATTAGATTTCTCAAAACAAAAACTGATTCCCTTGCCTACCCTCATTGCTACTCTGAGAGGAGACTGAAGAATCTAAGATCAAGTCAAAGTCATTTACACCTGTGCAATCTTCCTTCTCATATAAAACGTACATGTTTGCTTCAAAGTTCCAAAGTTCATAAAAGCTAATCCAAAAAAACTCTTTTGATAATCTCACTAATCATGCATTACACATTTCCTGGAGAAGCTTATCAGATACTACACACTTAAAATTATCGGTCGGTTTATGGGCAGGCAATGAACATCATAAATACTGTTCAATCCTGAAGTTTCAAAATTAGTCTGCTATGTCTGGAAAGGCTTTACAAGGTCACTGTGAAAAACTCATTTCCTGTCAGTCATCAGTGTGATCACTGGTTCTTAACCATGTCACCTCAGATGTTGCTTTCTCTCACAAATAACAGGTAACTTTGATGGAGTTCATGCTGTAAGCTGGGTGTTTTATATACATTGCACAAGTTATTTTTTTATCACCAAGTGAAGTAAATCTTACACTCTCATTTAGTAATGGTGGAAACTAAGACTTGAGATACTACTTAAGGAGCCCAACATTGTATGGAACTAAGAAGATGCCTGGCTAAAATTCAAAACCATTTCCATTTGACTTCATAAACTTTGTATTTTATATGGTCAGATAGGTAATTTAACCTACAAAATTTCTGACAGTAAGTATGCATGCATCCCTGTTAATCTATCAACCTATTAGTCTATTTGTATTTTTCTTATTCAATTAAATTTGATGCAAAAAGTAAGATATAAAGTGGTTCTCAATGCAGGTAAAAGTATCAACTTACATAGGGGATTCCAGCTTCACGATTTCGGTTTACAACCTCCTTCAATCCATTGATGCCACCATAATTCCTGCGGCTAAGCTGGAACCCAAGACTCCAGTAGGCAGGCAAAAATGGTCGCCCAACAAGCTAGAAAGAGAAGTAAAGTTTCTAAGCTTTATAGAAAGCTGTGTTTGTACTGTCATGTTCAAAAGTGGAAACATTAGCTCCATTTTATTTTTTATAAGGTCTTCCAATGTAAAAAAAAAACAGTAGAGCCAAGAGTAATCTTCTAGGGTAATCTGCAAGTTTCCACAACAAACATATCTCTTCACTGAGTACCTAAATGTATTCCCCCAAACGGCAACATCAAAAAATGATAGGATTTGCAAAAAAAAAAAAAATCCTTCACTAATGGAATCATCTTGGGGGGAAACTAGCGGTGTTGATGCATTCAGGAAGGATTTTTTTTTTTTTTTGGTTCTTACCATGTGCCAAGAGCTGATGCTGGTACTAGGATATAATGACAGAATACAAACATAATTTCCTCCCTTGTAGAGTTTAAATAAAATATTATGTCTACTGTAATTTCAGGCAGTGGCATTTTCCATGGATAAAAAAAGAACAACTGATAGAATTAAGAGTGTATGAGTGAAGAAAACTGGAGGATGTTTAAAATTCAAATATCCAAGTTGCTCTAGTCAACATTTTGTGAAGGTTCCAGCTGAACCCTGTCCTGCTTTGATCCTAGCAGGATGTCTTGTCTCATGTCTCTGAATCCCCAACTTGTGCCTTATTAGCAGCATTTACTGTATTACTGATGCTTCCTAGTATAATTATTTCAACTGTGTTGCATTTCTATTATTTTACTATAAATTCTGTCATCTGGAACCATATTTCATATTGCTTTATGAGTCATGTTCAATAAATTACTTCATCTTTTTGTAATTGAGTTTGCCATCTATAAAGCAAAAAGTTTAGGGTAAGATGGTGTCTAATGTTCTCTCTTATTCTACAGTTTGAATCAAATATAAAGAGCAGCAAAATTTCTTTCACATTCTTTTCACTGAATCTTTTACTGTTGAATGAATAAACTCTGCTGACTTGTGTCTGTGGCTGTTTGGAATGATTGGTCCTACCTGGACGGATGAGGAATGCCTTAAGAGCTATTGACTAACTTATTTTTGTACTTCCCAAGTCTTTCACACGCATCTTTAGCATGCAGAAAGCATCCAATAAAGCTCATCAAAAAAAAATAATAAACAAGAGATGAAAGACTGAGTCCCAGAATTTATAATGTAGCCTGACTACTAATAACATTTGTTTTCCTCTTGTTAAGTTACATAAGTGTAGGCGAGAGTAGCAATGCACAGGATCACCGAACGCAAAGCCATACCTCCAGGTATTCCTGAACTACTTGCTCTGGAGTGTTTCCCAGGAACACATAAAAGTCAAGAATGCCTCCAATTGTTCGGTAAGTGATTGCAGGAGCAGGCTGAAGGGCAACCTCTAAAAGGATTTAAATGTTATTAGAATCTTACGATTGAAAATGTTCTCTATAGCATGAATAAAAGAGTCTTCTAAAACAATCTCAGTTTGATTTATAAAGGGATAGAAGTCACATATGTTCATTTTATTACAAGATTATTGAAATACCAAAGGAAGCACTGAGTTTTGTTTAAGGAAAAGAAAAAATAAATTCTACTTTAATCTATTCATTTAAAACTATAAATTTTTGGAGTTCATGGATGGTTTAACCTAGAGAAAAAGATTTTTTTAATCTTTATGATTACAATTAAAACTTTTAAAAATGATGATTTTTAGTTCACCATTTATCCAGAAGCTGGAGAGGGAGGGTTATGGAGTATATTAAGTGTGGGCTATGAGAAACAGTCCATTAAAGCAAAAGCTGCTGTCTATGGACAGCATAGTACACATTGGAATCTATAGATATGTTCAAATATGTTTATCAGTGGACCCCATCTATTAATGGATTTTGTAAATAGTATCTACAGAATGTTAGGTGAAGCATTCCACCAAAGGAGATCCTTGAACAAGTCTTCAATGAAAATGCTTTTAAGTATGAACTGCATTTGCAGATAGGTTAACTTGCTTTCAGATTTGTGATCTCACCATAAAAGTAATTTTTCTTATTAAATTAGTATCCTAAATTCTACTCCAACTGGTGGAAGAGAAAAAGATGTTTCCTACCCATGGCATTACTGTTCATCAGAAAAACTCCAAAAGAGAAGCCACTGGTATCCTCAAGGCACAAGAAGAATGTATGTGCTCCATATAGATTGATCAGGCCCTGTTAGCAAGAAAGGAAAAAGAGAAGTAATAGTTTCATATGTTAAAAAATGTTTATTCACCTTAAAATAAAATAAAATGCCAAGCTATATATGTGCTTAGTCAACACTTGATGTCATGTAGTGGTACCGAAAAGAAATGAAATCATCAACTAACAAGTGGAAAGACAAAATATGATAATATCTACAGAGTGGAGTAATATTCAGCAATGGCAATAAATAAATACTGATACATGCTTCACAATAGTGGATATGTTATGCTAGGTGAAAGAAACAAGTACAAAAGATGATATGTCACATGATTCTATTTATGTAGAATGTCTTGAAAAATCAATTCTATAGACTTAAAGTAGATTAGGGATTGCCTGAGGTGGTGTGCACATGGGATAGGAATTGGGATTAATTCTAAAAAGGCATAAGGTATCCTTGGTGAAATTATTATAAAAAGTCCCCAAACTTAATTATAATGATGATTGCACAATTCAATAAACCTGTTAAAAATCATTGAACTGTACTTAAAATAAATGAATTTTCTGTGTACAGTACTGCAAATTGAACCCAGGGCCTCCTGCATGCTAGGCAAGTGCTCTTGTACTGACCTTCCCCCAAAACAGGTAACTTTTGTGTATATGACATACCTCAATCAAGTTATGTTTTAAAAATTGAAAAATATTTGCAATGATATATATCAAATTTTAGAAGAAGGTGATGATGTTATTAGCAATTTTGAATCTCTGAATACCAAGTGTGTTTTCTAATCTTTCTAAAATTAATATATAAAAAAGTTTAAAGCTAAGAGAAAAGATATTGAACCTGTCTCAGAGGGTTGGATGAGCACTGACAGTAAGAGCCCTAAAATTACAGATACTGAAACTATAATAAGCGGGAAGTTTTATAGAAATCCCCTGTGTGAAAGCATTATAATCTGCCCATGAAATAGGGCAATAAAATGAATAATGATAAATTTTAAAAGAAAAAGAGTCAACATAACAGGCAAAACAGAGAAGATTGATGGCAATCAATGGCACCCTGACTAGATTTAACATTGTACCAGGAAGACTCAAGGCATAGCACTTGGATAGAATATGGACTGATTTTTTTTAATTTTTAAAGAAAGAAAAAAATGAGAAGGGATAGAAAAGAAGGAGAAAGGGAAGGAAGGAAGGAAGGAAGGAAGGAA